GAGGCCTCGAGTCTCGCAGGCGAGCTCCGGAAGAATATAAGGAGGAGTGGTGACAGTGAAGGAAAAATTCGCTTCCACAAATTCAGTAGTTCAAATTCGACAGAAAATGAAACATTCATCTGCTGTTAGTCGATCTCACCAGCAGGTGGTGCAAGTGTGTGTTGACAAAGTGTTGCATTCATAAAAACGGGATTTACAGAAATGAGGCAATCGGTAAGTATTTGTCTTTGTGTATGTGTGTGTAGAAGATCGAACTTCTCAAATTCTATTTCATTAGTGCAATACATGCCACTGCTTTGAAGGGAAAATGTTAGGAACAGACATTTTTTGAGTATGGATGGATGGATTTGTGGATGAATAGATGAAATTATGCAGTCTGAGTTTCAGTGACAGGTCAAAGTGATTGAGCATCATGGCACCAATGACTCAAATTACCACAGCAGATTCCCTTGCTGCCAATAAATGCTGCAGCAACTGCTTAGCCAGCCCAACTAATCATGTGCGTTTGTCAATGCATTTGAGAGGAGGGATCATTGTCACTTACATGAACCATCACGGTCCTGACTGCTCCCTGTGTGAAAGATAGATGGCCTATAGATTTTGTTTACAGTTAACAATCATTTATATAGCTAATATCAATACTGTTTTCTTCCCGTTTCTCCCACATGTGCATTTTCCCCTCACTTACAGAGATAGCTTTAAGTAGGCCTATATATACATTTATCATAGTAGTTTTGTTGTTCATGTTATTCTTTCTTAACTGTCCCATCAAGTAAACTCATAAAGTAATGCCACCTAAAATGCTGTTTATATTGGTCCAATAGAGTTGAACATTGTTGGGGAAGCATATCATGTTACAAACTACTCATAATTTCAATAAGTTAAACTACAATCACATATACTCTTTAAAAAAAACACTTACAAATTCAGTATTTATATTTACATTTATTCATTTAGCAAATGCTTTTATCCAGAGTGACGTACACATGAGAACAATAGAAGCAAATAAACTAACAATAGGACAACAATATGCAAGTGCTATGACCCTTCCCAGTTTAATCTAATGCTGTACCTGTATTTCTTTTATTTTTAAAAATAATGGAAATAGAATAGAATATAAAGTGTTAGTATTTAAAGGAGTAGTTCACTTTAAAAAAAAAAAACTTTTGCTGATAATTTACTCACCCCCGTGTCATCCAAGATGTCCATGTCTTTCTTTCCTCAGTCGAAAAGAAATTTAGGTTTTTGATGAAAACATTCCAGGATTTTCTCCATATAATGGACTTCAATGGGGACCAAACGGTTCAAGGTCCAAAAGATAGTTAATAACAGTTTCAGATGCAGCTTTAAATGTCTTTAAACGACACCAGACGATGAATAAGGGTCTTATCATGCGAAACGATCGCTTATTTCAAAAATGTAACTTTTCTAAGGACAAATGCTAGCCTTGCTCTATTCTGTGAGGCGCGTTTGCAACGTCACGTATTACGTAATTACGTTCAAAAGGTCACGGGCGACGTAGCCGGAAGTACAGAGTCAGTGTTTACAAGTTGAACGCATAGGTTGAACGTGCAAACTAACTCAAACGCCGTTTACAAAAAAAGGAATTAAAAGGGAAAACAACGATGTCGGACGATTTTGATTCTGTACTTCCGGCTACGTCGCCCGTGACCTTTTGAACGTAATTACAAAATCACAAAATAAAATGCACACAAACTTAGAGAGATTGACTTACTAGTCCATCAACAAGATCGCCATGTCAGCAGCATCTCCGTTGCATCCAGTGCTGCTTTTTAGCTCGCACCAACGAGTGAAAAGGCCGAGTGGGGCTCTAGTCCGGGTTCTCACGCGGTCAGAATCTCTTTTCCTTTTCCTAATCTTCCGACCGTGTTTTCTTTGCTATTTCCATCGTCTAGTGTCACTTCTGAAATGTGCGCAACTGCAGTGTTGACAACTATTTTCAAAGGAAAGTAGCTAACGCCATGCCTGTTTAAATAAAAATCTTCAAACATTAATAAATAAAAAGAACTCAAACAACCAACCAGCGTTTTGAAACAAAATAAACCTAGCCTACAAACATAATCATACGCTTATAATAGGCATCGTGGAGGAAGATCAGTGCGTCCACAGTGGCGTGTTCTCCTCTCGACCAGCAACCCACGATGCACTTTAAACGCAGCAGCCAGACTTTCCTTACGGTGAACAGCAGCGATGATTAATACATTTTTTTTTTTTTTACTGGGCGGAAAAGATTAAGCCCAAGGTCCGACCCGAGTCATTTGCTTATATTTTCGACCCGAACCTGGCCCGAACGCGCAGGTCCCATTGGGTTTGTCAGGCTGACCCGACCCGACCCATTGAGAACTCTAATCCGGATCAGATGAAGGACCTGCACCTAGACACGACCACAACACATGATGGGGTCAGCCGGATCCGGTCCATATCCGGATCAGACGGAGGACCAGCGCCTAGACACGACCACAACACATGATGTAGTCAGACTCTCTCCTGTGAGCCTCATGGACACGACAGGCATCGGCACTGATCCAAGAACACAAGAACCAGACTTGTCCTCTGCAAAGACTCTATTTTCTTTTAGAGCTGCTTCACAGCTTTACTGACTCAGAATGTGTATTCATGTATGAGCTAAATAATAAACAGATGGTAGTCACAGCAATCTTAATGACAAAAGGAGCCAAAATGAAATGATAGTTCATTAGCAAGGAGATACAATTTGGAGGTCAAAATGTAATGGTAACCTTTCACTGTGCAAATTGAAAATTAACCTTTGGGGCACTGAATCATTCACAGCTGAGGCGGCTGCACCAAAAAGCCAACGCTTATTTTCCTCACAGACAATGTGAAGATCAGGGAATCTCATAATAATTACAAACAATCATAATTATTACCACAGAGAAATCTCTGCACTCATCGCTGTATCAAGAAAATCATATGAGACAAATCCGTAAAGGAAAAGAAAAAGGCTGAGCAATTCTATTGAGAAGAGGCGCTCACCCTTGTCTCTCCAACATTCTGATGTTTCCATTAATTGGATTTAAAAATAATGATGACAACTAATGCGTTAGAGATTGTTTTTACAAACTTTAGGATTGCAAGAATTTCTGATGCTTTATCTTGCATTTGAATAGAATAAATCGTAGTCTACTGTATGAGGTGAGATCATCTAATTCCTACTATTTATTAATTTAAGGGTGAGTGTGTTACGTGGGCGTGTTTTTTTTTCAAATCACAATTTTAACGCGCGAATAATTTGCGCAATGGTTTATTTTTAGACCAGCTGTTTGTGTTTGTTTTTGTCTTCCACAGCGAACGCAAATATCAAAAAAAAAGTTGCGGCGAAAAAAAAAAGTTGATTTTTTTTTCGATTTTTTTTTTTTTTTAAACTTTTGCAGCGACAGAAAAGCCTTCAACCAATAACATACAGGGAAGCAAAGGTGACGTGGGTTTCTTTCCTGGAAACGAAATGTTGGAGCTCTGAAACGTCACAGACGTCGCAAATTCGCGTCGTGGCTGGTGTGAGTGGTTTTGATGCGAACTATCCGCATGCTTAAATATTCACTTCTTCGCTTCACTTTTCCGTTACGCGTCCGGTGTGAAAGGGCCTTAACTTTAATACAACTTTAACACATTAGCTCATCCATGATCTCCGTCCGCTGTGGAGGGGAAAACTCCCATGATGCCACACTTATTCACGCCGGCATCAAGCTACGCCTTTGTTATTGTTTTGAATTAGCGACCTCTGGTGCCAAAAAAAGACGGGGTCGTGGTCAAGCTTTATATGAGGCTTTATATGAGTTCCTCTGATCACCAGCTTGTCGTCGTATTCAAGTGCTTTGTTGCTGGAGGACACCAGGTTTATTCTTGCTTATTAAATCTTGGAAAATCGTATTAAAGCCAAAATGATATTTAGCGGTTTATTCAGTGACAACCATATTCACTGTGCTGTAGAGTCAGCTCACTGACGATTCTGGAATTTCCATGTGATATTATTATTTTAAATGCATATTTTCACTGTGTATAAAACATAATACACTTCAAATGATTCATACATGTTAATATGCACCAGGCTACTTTAACAAGGTGATCTAGCGAATGAAGGGTCTATCGGGATTCTCCCTGCTCTTGGTGAACAGCACTTGAGTCTTTATAGTTTTATAGTTCTGATGATACACACACCAGGAAATTTCCAGTCCACTTCACACTGTCCAATTAAACGTGTGCTGGCTAACTTGTGCCACATCAGCATTAGTTGCTATACTTTTTATTAAATATTAAATATTTTTAAACGTTTTTTCTTTATTTGAATGGACACACTAGCAATCACTGAGAGAGCCAATTGTCAATGTCAATGCTTTATGGCAACAAGATAGATTAAATTTTTTTTTTTAATGATTTGTTAATGTTTTGTACACATTGTCCCATTTATTATAATTGAAAAGCAATTTGTTTTATTGACCACAATATTATTGTTGCTGCAGTCAATTCTCACTTCTCCTCTAACTCAGACGGGCCTAAACTCGCAAAGTCACGTGATTTCAGCCCTCGGGGCCGCGCGCCTGCGTCACTACGGTTCACCGCTAGATGGTGCTAATATTTAACTGATCTCGGGTCAGTTTTTGTAATGTAAGTTTCTTTTGGTGTATAACACAAAAATTAGGATGATATTTAACTTCTGATTGGTCAAGTTTGCCACGCCCAGTCTTATAACACACAGAACATGGACTACACATTAATATAGAACACACATTTTACAGGTTCTAGATTATATTTAAAAGATCAGCCTACGCTGGAAACATTTGCAGCAAAGGTATTGAGTTTCCGCTGCAGTGATGCGCCAGTGTGGCCAGCAGAGGTCGCCAGCCTGCTGTGTTTCGAGTCTGCGGTGAATGACTGGAGAGTTCGGGCACGGCGATTGGCGCACGTGATCCGCGTGAACCGCTTTGAGGTTCCCATCTCCTCCTGGCTGCGCTCGAGCCCCTGTGACGTAACAGCTAGCAGACTACGGTGCGCCGTTTGTGACCAAGAGCAGAACGCGCGAAGTAAGAGAATACGAGCGACATTTCAGGTAACGGCATTCAAACATAACTTTTATTGAAAACGGGAACCCATGTCTGATATTTAGAAGCATGAAATATGGAAGTCGTCTCGGTTCCCGTCGCTTAGTAGCGTGTAATGTGAAGGATTTGTACGTCGCATTTGATGCGCTTTTGGGGCCTCCGTGCCGCCGTCGTTTTCAGTACTCACGTGAAGACCCGCCTTCCCCGAGTTCCCATTGGACGAGCGCAGGAAACTGGCCTTCTGACTGGACGAAACTCACGCCAGTCAGCAACAGGCACGGTAACAGGAAGTAAATGAAACCGTTTCACGTCTGAGTCTGAGAGCAAATATAAACAACATAGCCTAAAGAACGAATTAAAGTTTAATATTACTGATTAACGCTTTTCCACAGTTTTCACGAAGCAACTTTTTTTTCTACTAAGCAGAACACGTACATGTGAAACTCATAATAACGACACTATTGCGCGCACGCGCTAGTCGAATAGCATAGTGAATGATAAATGCAGTTTTACATAAAGTTTCTGTTGTGCTGTAAATATTTCATCATTTGGAGTGCTTATGTATGAAGAGGTTCATAGCTTAATATAAGAGAAGCATTATTAAAGAGACTAGATTGGAATAACTTACTGATCACATACAATTAGAAAAAAAGAGTTAACTAAGAAAAGAGTTAGCTTTATGTTTAGAATGTGTATCTACCTGTATGAACTCGGATGATGAAGATTAGAAGCAGTGTTCAAGCAGCTGTTCAGTGATTGTGTTTTTCAGTCATTAAATTTAAAAGATCAAAAGAGTTCAACTGGGTAATATGAGGTGCTCATTTATATGTTGTGTAATTATTTATAGGGGTAACAATATATCGTTAAATAATATATCACAATACAAAAATTCATCAGTATGTATCGTGGATAGTGACTATATATTGTGTATATTTCTCTCAAAAAAGAAAATTACATGTGAGATTTTTTTTCAGAGTTTTAGTTGTCAGTACTACATTAAACTACTATATATGATGTTGAATATAATGTATAATAATGAATATCTGTGGGACTGATAATGGCAGATGTCTGATGTTACCAGTATAAAGTGGCCTTTATTATAATAAATATATCCAGTCAGTGACAGAGATCATCATATTCATCTACAATAATTCTGTGTTCATCTTCAGAATCATGAATATTGTTATTCTGGAGTCTCTATTGTCCTGCCATGGTGGGCTCAACCGTAGAGAGCCGAGAGAGAGAGATCAGTGTGCCGCAACTGAAGATAATACATGCAAATAGAAAAAAATACATGCAAAAAAAAAAAAAACATCCCCAAATTAAGAAAACATCTTCATCAGTTTCACAACACTCCAAAATACTCCAAATACTCACAACACAACTAAAAACAGAAATGCGCTCAAAATTGTGAGTATTTGGAGCACACGTGTGTAGTGAAACTGATGAAGATGTTTCCTTAATTTGCATGTGTTTTCTTCTATTTGCATGCGTTTTCTTCAGTTGTGGCCTGTTGAGCTCTCGGCCACCGTTTCCTGCTTTGAGTTTCAGCACCATGTCCAACCTATTCATTTACACACACAATGTAAAACCAAATTTTGCATTTTAATCAAAAGTAAATTTTTTGTTAACCTTTTATAATTTATCTTGAACTATTGCAATAATATCGTTTCATGAATTCAGTATTGTGACAGAGAGTTGTTATACACCTAATTAATTCTTATTTATGATATTTTGATTAAAAACTAAAATTACCTTCTGATTTAATCAAATACCATATATATATATATATATATATATATATATATATATATATATATATATATTAATTTGTTTTAATATCTAACTTTAGTTTAACTATTAAATAAAATAGTTTCCAATATTGTTTAATTAAGTAAGCATTCCATTTAAAAAATCTAATGAAAAGTTAGTAATCAATTCAAGTCACCTTTATTTATACACTTTATTTTTACACTTTTTATTTATACACGTTATTTAAAGACTAGAGTGTTTCAAAGCAGCTTTACAAAGATAACAGGAAAATAATGCAACAAAGTTTGTTTCCAGAATAAACTAGCGTTACAGTCCAGCTTAAGTAAGTTTCTTTTTTTGTGGTAAAAAATCTATTCATTTAGTTCATTTATTTTTGAATATAGCCACTCTGGAGAAAACCGTGATGTCATCATCAAGCTCAATTCAGTTCTTGTATAGTAGTATCAATGCAGGAGATCATTAATATTGTTGAATATTTAAAGAGCCCCTATCATAGCATTTGAAATGTTCCTATTTTTGTTTTAGGAGTTCCCAAAAACAGTTTAACATGCATGCAAGGATAAAAAACACTTTTTTTTGTCTTATAATATGCATTTATTTTTAACTGATTTGCTCACCGACTCCCAAATGATTCGTACAACGACTCATTTTTCCTAACCACTCCTTTGTGTGACACTAATCGGTGGTGATTGGTCAGATGACCCAGTCAGTTGTTTGTTAGCATAACGCATAAACATATTGATAAAGCACTGCAGTACTACAAGACGATCTATTCTTTATGACAACTCCAATAACAGCGACAAACATTTTACATATTTAAAAAAAATTGACATTGGCGACCTAGAAGCTGCGCTGAGCGTAACTTACACACACACACACGCATGCAGACATGCACGCGCACACACACACAGATAAACACGCTACAAAACCGTTCAAAACCCATAAAAGCTACAATTATTAATAATACTTACAGGTTGTGATTCGAAGGAGGAAGCTGATCCATATACACTGGGTAAGTAAGTTACTGAGCCCTCCTTCAGGAACAACCGCTTGCGAATCCACATTTGAATTCATTTATGTTTTTGAACTAACGTTATTCGTCAATAAAATGATGAGAACACAATCGGGCTATACTGTTGTGGTATCGTTGCAAATATGAACTCTAACCACCGATTCTTCACATGCTCGTCCCTGGACAATGAAAACAAAGTGGCTGAACTGTCTTTGCATTGTAGAACAGCGTCTTCTCGACATGATGCGATGATGAAGTATTTGAGTGTGTAGACTTCAAGTTTACACTTCCGTCTGTGTGCGCAGTAACTGGGCGCGGCCAATGACCTCTCTACGTCACGACAAACCAGCTAATGACTCGTTTCAAAAACAATTCATTTCATAGACTCAGAGTCCACTCTCACTTTTGAAAGACAATACATTTATATACAGTGCACTTTCAGATATAAATCTTTGCAGGATGTTTTCATTCCTTTAGAGCTATAGTCCACACCATATGAACGGTCATTTTCAATAATCCATGATAGGGGCTCTTTAAGTTTTGAATATTACTAAGCAGTCAAAGGCGACAGTGACAAGGAAGCAAAACTCCATCTGGTACAGAATGGGAAAAAAAAAACGATCAAGTTGTGATTTTAATAAGAGGCTCAAGCTTAAAGATTTTAGTAATAAATAAAAAAACAAAGAAACACATTGCAGTCACAGAACAAGTTGTAGAACAAACATAATTTCAGATTCAGTCCAGCATGAAACGATTGATTCTTGCTCACTGACGTTCACTAATCACCACGAGTCACGACACACTTCGTCAACACTTCGTCAATATTGTGTTGTCTGAACCCGGCATAAGATAAGATATATTTCAACTTGTACAAAAACAATATTAATCAGTGTAATAATTTACAAGGATTATTAGCATTATTTTATTTACATACATATGAATAATTTTCACAGCACTGTTTTCACAGAAAGGTCCATGGATCCCTCACGTGAAGCCTAGTGATTATCGCATGTGAACCGACAGCAACATGGACAATCCCAAACGCAAGTTAAGATCTGGAAAGGAAGTTTTGAAGGACAAAGGCCAATCTAAGGAGAAGCCCAATGATACCGGCTCGGGAGATGCTTCATCAGCACACAAAGAGTCTGATGATTCTGGACATGTTGTAGAGGAAAGTGAGCGTGAGGACCGGTCTGAAGAACATGGCTCTTCGCAAACAACCGAGGCTTTGGTTTGTTCACTTTGCGACTTTGTTGCAAAAACTAAAACTGCACTGAAAATTCACTCATCGAGGAAACACTCTCATAAAGGAGGCGTACAGAACGACACAGGGTTGAGTTCTTCGCAAAACACACCCCGGGTACAAGAAAGCGATGCCTCTGCACCTCTGTCAGAGGAGGACACACAGACCGAGAGCCAACACACACACAAGGCTGACGGAAGAGCCAATCCCAGTCAGATCCTGCTGGAAATAGTTGAGCCCATCTCATGTAGATCAGTGAAGGATGAGGAAGACACAAACCAGACCTGTACAGATGGCCCGGATACAAAAGCTGGCTACAGTTTGGATTCGGACACTAAAGTGAAAAGTAATAAAAATGGTGGAATTGATGGACATTCAAAGCCTAGTACTTGTGTAGAGGAATTCACAGATGCATGCCGTCCAGAAAACCATATCAAAAGGCAACATAACAGCAAGTCTGATCATGAGAAGCACAAACGGAAGATGTTGGAGAATCAGGATTCATTAGAGACAGAGAAGACTGAAGCCCGGTCACAGTCACAGACTCAGGAATCTCGGACAAAAGGCCGGTCAAAGCATCAGTGCGACCGATGCGACTTCACAGCCAACAGCTCCGTCATGTTAGCGCAGCACATTAAAACGGTCCACCCACCGGAGCACCGCTTCCACTGCCGGCTCTGCCATTACTACACCAGCACCACTGAGGCCATGCAGAGCCACCTCTGCGAGGAAGCCCACCTGCAGCTGGCCGACCAGAACCACACCAGCGCTCTGTTCGAAGACTGTGTGGAGAAGATCCTGGTGATCCTGTCCGATCAAAGGGAGCCTGAAGGTCAGGAGGAGGAACAGCCGAGGAAAGACTCTCCTCACAAACGCAAGCGCGGTAGACCGAAAACGTCCAATGAGACCGTCTGTAGACACTGTGGACTCGTCGCGTCCAACGCCACCAACCTCAGTGTCCACATCCGCCGCAGGCACAGCCGGCTCTACAGCTTCGTCTGCACGCTCTGCAGCTACTACTGTGTTACCAAAGGAGACATGGACCGTCACTGCGAGACCAAGAAGCACCTCAACAAGATACAAGCCGCCGGAGGTGACGACAGCAGTGTAGTTCTTCTAGACTCCGAGCAGGCTGCTCAAGCTAAGACAACAGAGGTAGCACACACAGTAGCAGAGATCGAGATGACGATTGAGGACGATGACGTGGATGAGGCCAGTGTGCCGCGCAAGAGAAGCAAGCCTGATCTGGGTAACGTCTGTGCTCAGTGTGGCTTTCCCGCTCACTCTGCGGCATCTCTTGCCCTCCACGTGCGACGCAAGCACACCAAAGACTTCGAGTTTGTGTGTCTGGCGTGCAGCTACTACACCGTGACACGCAGAGAGATGTTCAGGCACATGGCCACTGAGAAACATAAGCAGAAGCGAGAGAGTTACCTGAAGAGACCGAAGCAAAGCTCCAAGCCAGAGACTGTCGGCGGATCGGAGGAGATCCAGGACACGACTGAAGAGACAGAGCCTTCGATAGAGACGCCTGAGGATCAGGATGGAGAAAAACAATCTGCTGTGAAGAATACAGCCAAAGACAAGGAAGAATCCCCAACTAATCCAACAGAAGAATCTCCAACTAATCCAACGGAAGAATCCCCAACTGATCCAACTGAAGAATCCCCAACTGATCCAACTGAAGAATCTCCAACTGATCCAATGGAAGAATCCCCAACTAATCCAACGGAAGAATCCCCTACTGATCCAACGGAAGAATCCCCTACTGATCCAACTGAAGAATCTCCAACTGATCCAGCTGAAGAATCTCCAACTGATCCAGCTGAAGAATCTCCAACTGATCCAATGGAAGAATCCCCAACTAATCCAACGGAAGAATCCCCTACTGATCCAACGGAAGAATCCCCTACTGATCCAACTGAAGAATCTCCAACTGATCCAGCTGAAGAATCTCCAACTGATCCAGCTGAAGAATCTCCAACTGATCCAACGGAAGAATCTCCAACTGATCCAAAGGAAGAATCCCCAACTAATCCAATGGAAGAATCCCCAACTGATCCAACGGAAGAATCCCCAACTGATCCAACAGAAGAATCTCCAACTGATCCAGCTGAAGAATCTCCAACTAATCCAACGGAAGAATCTCCAACTGATCCAAAGGAAGAATCCCCAACTAATCCAATGGAAGAATCCCCTACTGATCCAACAGAAGAATCTCCAACTGATCCAGCTGAAGAATCTCCAACTAATCCAACGGAAGAATCTCCAACTGATCCAAAGGAAGAATCCCCAACTAATCCAATGGAAGAATCCCCTACTGATCCAACTGAAGAATCTCCAACTGATCCAACGGAAGAATCCCCAACTGATCCAACAGAAGAATCCCCAACTAATCCAATGGAGGAATCCCCAACTGATCCAACGGAAGAATCCCCAATTGATCCAACGAAATCAAACGAGATCCAGTCAACGACGATTGAGAAAGACTCAACACTGGAGGATATGGATGAGGAAAACATGTTTTATGAGGATGAAACTTCAGACTTAGGAGATGACAGTGAGAAATACCTCAGAGGAGCACAGTTTGACGCTTGCATTTTTCCTTTAAAAACACTAACAGAGCACAAGATCCCACATGACAGACAACAAACGACAGGCGCTTCCGTGAGGAAAACTCCCGAGACGAAGCCGGCCAAACCGACTCCCCGCATCCGCTGTGAGGACTGTGGGTTTCTGGCTGATGGCTTGAGCGGCCTGAACGTGCACATCTCCATGAAGCATCCGTCCAAGGAGAAGCACTTCCACTGCCTGCTGTGTGGGAAGTCATTCTACAGTGAGAGTAACCTGCAGCAGCACCTGAGCAGCGCGGCTCACCTGCGCAACGAGCACGGCAGCGTGGAGGACCTGCCCGACGGGGGCGCCAGCTTCAGGTGTGTGCGCTGCAGCGAGCCCTGCCACACCGAGCAGGACCTGTTCCTGCACATCAAGGAGAAGCACGAGGAGCTGCTCAGGGAGGTCAACAAGTATGTAGTGGAGGACACGGAGCAGATCAATCGGGAGCGGCAGGAGAACCAGGGCAGCGTCTGCAAGTACTGCGGGAAAGTGTGCAAGAGCAGCAACTCCATGGCCTTCCTGGCCCACATCCGCACTCACACAGGTACGTCTCCCTCCGTCTCATCAAAACATTTACTTGCAACAGATTAACTACCTAAAGGGTTTGTACAAGCTTGAGGACGCCAGTCAGTCTCTCTTTACTCGCTCCCCTGAATCGCTCTCAAACATGTCCGCCTCAGATCTCACACTCCAAAAAAGCAATTTGTAATTATTTAAATACTTTTAGTATTTGCTGATGAATGCTTGATTCTGATTGTTTGACAAACATTCTAAGGTGAGCAAGTAGGTTTTTTTTCCAGTAAGCACTTATTGACTGCATTACAGTTCCATATAACTGTTAATTATTAGGACCGAATCATTGTATTCTGGTCATTTTTACAGCAATAGTAAAGAGACTCATTGAGAATAATGGACCATCAGAATCAGTTTGAAAGAGGATGAATATGAGGATGAAGGAGGGTCCTGTCCACCCTCCTGCTCCCACAGACTCATTCGCAGACACAGCTGTCAATCATGACCTGTCTTTAAAGCATCACACAACTAACTAAAACCGAACAATAGAACATACACCAGCCCGATAAGAACTACCTCAAATGACAGAAACCAGCTTTGGGAAAAACTGTATTTAAGGTGTCATTGGATTTTTTAGTTTGCCTATCGTCCCATTCGATGACACAAGGTTTAAGGTCCTAATCATCCCCATATATACCAATTGGCTTCATCACTGTCTCCTCTCCACCAGTAAGCTGGTGTGTGGTGAGCGTTCTGGTGCACTATGGCAGCCGTCGCATCATCCAGGTGGATGCTGCACATTGGTGGTGGTTGAGGAGATTCCCCCCTCTATGTGAAGCGCTTTGAGTGTCCAGAAAGGCGCTATATAAATGTGATGAATTATTATTATGAATCTAAATGTTTTGGCTTCACTTTTCCGGGCATGTGCAGCACACCTGGTGCTGACCATAGACGGTATTACAATGGGCGTAGTGTCCGTGACGCCCCCCCCCCTGAAGAACGTCTTTTGAACCCCAAAGTGGGCGGAGCCTGTCGCCGCCATCTTGGCAGCGGCACTCCAGGATAAACGGAAATGTGCGGCGAGGTGGATTAGCTGAGGTGATGTGATGCTGACACACAGCAGACAAACAGCTTGCACTGACATCAGCGGCAATTCACCTCACTCAGGTGGCCACGCCCTTAATTATGCAGAACTTTGAAGCTTAAATAATTTAAACGGAAGAGTTATAAAGAAAATCCATTCCCCTCACAGTCGTCATGAAGGGCAAAATTAGCTATATAGACCAAAACCACTTTTTGACCAGACTGAAAACGTGTTTTTTTTTTCTGCTGTAAAGTGTAAAGGCATTTTAACATGCGGGTCTATGGGACTCTATGAGTCTATATGAGTCTCTCCTGCAGCCGGCCTCTAGTGGCCAGTGGAGCACTTCTTTGTTGGATTCAGGAGAGGGACCCATACATTAGGGTTGAGTGAGAGCATGCCAATTAATAACATCAGTATAAAACAGCATTCTGTGACAGAATGGCCAGCAGCCATATCACCCTGTACCCATGACTGGTTGCCCACTGAAGCTAAGCAGGGCTGAGGCTGGTTAGTACCTGGATGGGAGACCTTCTGAGAAAGCCAGGTTGCTGCTGGAAGAGGTGTTAGTGAGGCCAGCAGGGGGCGCTCACCCTGTGGTCTGTGTGGGTCCTAACGCCCCAATATAGTGACGGGGATACTATACTGTCAAAGAGCACCGTCCTTCGGATGAGACGTTAAACCGAGGCCCTGACTCTCTGTGGTCACAAAAAATCCCAGGATGTCTTTCGAAAGAGTAGGGGTGTAACTACTCTTTTTTTTTTTCCCAGTGGCCTCTGTCCATCATGGCCTCCGAATCATCCCCGTGTGTATATATATATATACCCATTGGCCTCTCCACCAGTAAGCTGGTGTGTGGTGAGCGTTCTGGCGCAATATGGCTGCCGTCGCATCATCCAGGTGGAGCTGCACACTGGTGGTGGTTGAGGAGATTCCCCCTTCCATGTAAAGCGCTTTGAGTGCTGAGAAAAGTGCTATATAAATATAAATGTAAATGTAATGAATTAATTAATATTGGTTTTATGTGAGTTTAAATAAATTATTTGTGAATATGGTGAAGAAAATGCAGTGTCTTTTATCTTTTATCACCACAGGATCCAAACCGTTCATGTGCAAGATCTGTAACTTTGCCACCGCTCAGCTCGGAGACGCACGCAACCACGTCAAGAGACACCTGGGCATGAGAGAGTACAAGTGCCACATCTGTGGGTGAGTGGGAATCCAGGTTTAAAGCAGTTTTACGAAGAAGAGTAAACCTTAAAACCTACACATCAAATCTCATAAGACCATGTGAGTCGGTGTGTGAGTTTAGTGTCTGCTGTGGTTACAGATGGGCCTTTGTGATGAAGAAGCACCTGAACACTCATCTACTGGGAAAGCATGGACTGGGTCAACCTAAAGAGAGGTTCTGAACACTCTCTCACTCTCTCTTTCACACACACACACACACACACACACACACACAGATGGACCCACAACATTCATAGGGTTGTAAGCATTCCTAGGATTCTTTCACAATAGGCTATTTTGATCATTTTTCCATTCACATTACATAACTGTGACATTACTTTGGATAGACAATTTCTAATAATACATAAATTAACAGACAAGATATCTCAACTTTAAAGTGGACGTATTCTGCCCTTTTACAGTCTTGATGTGTTTCTTGAATGTTGATTATTCTCCTCATATTCTCCATTGTTGCGGCTCCTCCCTTCCCAGTCTGTCAGTAACGCTCTGTTTACTTCCTGTCTCTATGAAGCCCCTCCTCCTGAAAAGCACACTGTGCTCTGATTGGTCAGCGGGAGCAGCATTGGTTGATTGGTCGAGCGCTTTGAGTGTGTTTGGGAAATGTCCCGCCCCTTTCCTTAACCGCCAGTTTAACACACTACTAACTCAATCAGGCCCCGCCCCTTTATTCTGCACATTAATTATTATAATGAGGAATATTGAGACGTGTTCGTTCGGGAGAAACTCAAGACTACAATGGAGGCGTTTCAGGAGTTCAGGAACACTGACACTGATATAGAGAAGAACTGGAGCTTTTCATGATCACACACCAACACACACACTGAACACAGAGGAGAACAGCAGAATAGTGCTCTATAAATGTGTTAGAGCTGTGGCAGACTGAGGCTCATCGGTCGTGTGTTCTGTTCTCTAGAAAGTTTGAGTGTGATCTGTGTGAGCGCAGCTTCAGTGAGAAATGGGCTCTGAATAACCATATGAAGCTGCACACCGGAGACAAACCCTTCAAGTGCAGCTGGCCCTCGTGCCACTACGCCTTCCTCACCCTCTCTGCCATGAAGGACCATCACCGGACACACACAGGTACTCACACACACTCGTGCATTCATACCTGTGAGTGTGTGCGTGTGTGTGTACAGTCTGTTGCATATTGCATATTTTAGAGAACTGTAATGTGTGTAAGTGATGAATCTGCTGGTCTCTGATCCTCTGTGTTTCAGGAGAGAAGTCTTTCCTCTGTGATCTCTGTGGATTCGCTGGAGGAACTCGTCACGCTCTGACCAAACACCGACGCCAGCACACAGGTACACATAACACACACCAGCACACAGGTACACATAACACACACCAGCACACAGGTACACATCACACACACCAGCACACAGGTACACATCACACACACCAGCACACAGGTACACATCACACACACACCAGCACACAGGTACACACTGTGTTAACGCACAGGTCCAGAATAAAATGTACACACTGCACCTTTAAATGTTGGTTTGAGAAAGTCTTATCTGAGTGTTTATCATAGCTCCAGGTAAGCAGGTGTCAGTAGAACAGTAGAGTCACCTGTGCTGTGTTTGCTGCAGGCGAGCGGCCTTTCAAGTGTCAGCTGTGCAGCTTCGCCTCCACCACACAGTCTCACCTGACGCGGCACAAGCGTGTGCACACGGGCGAGAAGCCCTACCGCTGCCCCTGGTGCGACTACAGGTACACCTGTCTCACTCTCTCAGCATGCACACCTGTCTCACTCTCAGCATGCACACCTGTCTCACTCTCAGCATGCACACCTGTCTCACTCTCAGCATGCACACCTGTCTCTCTCTCAGCATGCACACCTGTCTCACTCTCAGCATGCACACCTGTCTCACTCTCAGCATGCACACCTGTCTCTCTCTCAGCATGCACACCTGTCTCACTCTCAGCATGCACACCTGTCTCACTCTCAGCATGCACAGCATGCGCACCTGTCTCTCTCTCAGCATGCACACCTGTCTCACTCTCAGCATGCACAGCATGCGCACCTGTCTCTCTCTCAGCATGCACACCTGTCTCACTCTCAGCATGCACAGCATGCGCACCTGTCTCTCTCTCAGCATGCACACCTGTCTCACTCTCAGCATGCACACCTGTCTCACTCTCAGCATGGGCACCTATCTCAATCTCATTATGTTTCACTGTTTCTACTGGAGCTGTCCCTTTAAAAAGCACCTCTAATGCAAATAGTATTGAGTATTATTGAGTATTAAGGTTTTGCTCCATATGAAAGGAAACACAACATCTGTTCAGCGTTTAGTGAATGTAAATATGCGTGTTATTTTTTTGTATTGTCAGATCGAACTGTGCAGAGAACATCCGTAAGCACATCCTGCACACAGGCAAGCATGAGGGAGTGAAGATGTACAACTGTCCCAAGTGCAGCTACGCCACCAACGGCCCCATGGACTTCAGGAACCACCTGAAGGAGACGCACCCGGACCTGGAGAACCCAGACCTGGCTTACCTGCACGCAGGTGCTCGTCCACCTCATTCTCTACTCAAACTTCATCAGTGGCTGTTCATAACCAGATAGATCTGTTTGCCTCTCCAGACTCGCCACATTGCCAGTTGTTCAATTCCCTGATTGAGGGGACCCTTGGCACGAATGCACTGGCACACAGCTGGCCCCGGGGCCTATGCATGTATGCGTTTCCCCCAGTGAGCTTTATCGCACAGACACTGTGCAAAGTTAGGGAGAAAGAGGAGCAGATCTTGCTAGTTGCCCCTTATTTGCCCAACCTGGGGACCTGATGCCCCGAACTGATGCTCCTCTCGGCAGCCCCTCCCGAACCCATTCCTCTCAGAGAGGACCTCCTTTGTCCAGACCTCTGGATACTGGTGGAGGTTCAAGGTGACCTACCACAAGCTGTCATAGAGACCATCACTTCTGCGAGAGCGCCCTCCACAAGGCATGTTTACGCTCAGAAGTGGAACAAGTTTGTTGAATGGTGTTCTTCTCACCACGAAGATCGATCGGCACAGTGCTGTCCTTTCTGCAAATGGTTGGGTTGGGGCAAAGGCTGTCTCCCTCCACCCTCAAAGTGTACGTTGCCTCCATTGCCGCACATCACGACGCAGTTGATGGAAAATCCATGGGGAAGCACGACCTGATCATCAGGTTCCTGAGGGGTGTGTGGAGACTGAATCCACCTCGCCCCCTCTCAATACCCTCTTGGGACTTATCTCTGGTGCTGACGGCCTCCCCTTGAGCCATTGCAGGCAGCCAAAAATCCTGTCTATGAAAACAGTTATCCTGCTTGCTTTGGCCTCCATTAAGAGGGAATGGATTGTGCCTGAAATTCAAGCCGGACGACTCTCACGTCATCCTGAGATCCCGGCCTGGATATGTACACCAGATGGTGAACCTGCAAGTGCTGCCCCCGGAGGAGACAGACCCAGCCCTGGCTTTTCTCTGTCCCGTTCTTGCACTGCGCCTATACGTGGACCTCAGACCAGCTCTACCTGCTACGGAGGCCAGCAGAAGGGAAAGACTATCCCCAAGCAAAGGTTTGCCCACTGGATAGTGGATGCCATCGTCTTGGCGTGCCAATCCCAAGGCGCACCATGCCCCCTCAGGTTGTGAGCCCACTCCTGTCTGAGTTCATCTTCTTCCTGGGCACTGGCACAGGGTGCCTCGCTGACAGATGTCTGTAGAGCTGCAGGCTAGGCGACACCAACACCATCTTCTCTAAGAAGGCAGTCAACACAAGTGTCGACTTGCTGCATCATTTCCCTTCTATAGTCTGGATACATGCACCATTTCTGCTCCCCGTTAGCTCCCTGTTGAGTTCCCCATTAGCCGAACCCTGTTAAGTTCCGCCACACCTCCCGGCTGTCGGACGTGGCGGAGCGGCCGAAGCCAGGCCTAGCACTCTTATGCATCAGAGGAACCTGTACTAGGCTGGTTCCCATATGATGTGATCCCTACGGCGATCCCAAATGTGTATTCTTCCACTGTGCGGCTTTCTGAGGTGAGTCGTGTCTTTGCCTTGGTAGGGCCTGCTGTCTCTGACCGTTGTGTCTCCCCCCTGCTTAGGCCGGACACACCTCAGTAACATTCCATATGTTGTGCAGCCCAGAAACCATATATGTAACCTCCACATGAAATCTTCCTGCGGAACAGCAGTGGACTTCCCTGGCCGGAGCCCTGTCCCATCTCCACCTCAGTAATGCGGGGGCATCAGCAGGCTTTCGCTAGGTAACTAGAAGGTGTCAACACTAGATGGCGTGTTATTTGGGATCCCAATCATTCGGCACGTTGAAAACAATGCCGTGTGCAGGATAAACACGCTCGTTTCATGTTTTCATATGATGCCCGCTGAGAACTGGCGTGTAAAGGAGTCAAACACTATTGAAGATCTCCTTTCAGTCCTGTTTAGGCTCACGTGTTGTGACATCACATCCTGTTTTGGGTTTGTTTTGATGTTTTAGGGCCATGCTGCGTTTATATTTCATGAAACTGTCCACTTATTGTGTGTGTTTCTGCTCTCTCCTGTGTCTGTGTCAGGAATCGTGTCGAAGTCGTTCGAGTGCCGCCTGAAGGGTCAGGGTGCGTCGTTCGTGCAGGCGGAGGCGGCGTTCGCCCCGGATGAGCCTGAGCTGGGGTCCGAGGCGCTCCAGCAGGTCATCATCATCCAGGGCTACGGCGGGGGAGAGGTGGCCATTGATCAGGCCCTGGAGGAGTCGGCCGCCGCCACGCTACAGACCCTGGCCATGTCCAGCCAGCTGGCGGAGGTGCTGCACCTCACTGAGGACGGGCAGCTGATCACCTCCCGGGACCAGACGCGATACGTGCTGGTGGAGTCGTCCGGAGAGGCTCGAGAGCAGGAGGAGGCGGAGCGCGGGGTGTGCGAGTCCTCCTCGGCTCTGGACGCGCTGCTCTGCGCTGTGACGGAGATGGGCCAGCAGGGCGGCGCTACAGAGATCACCTCCGATCAGAAGAGCGACGCTCAGACGCCTCCGGCTCAGGCGTACGAGGAGACGCCGGATCAGGTGATGAGTTCGGCCAATCAGCACACGTCTGAGCAGATGCAGGAGGTGCTGCAGTTCGCAGCCAGTCAGCTGATGATGAAGGAGGGGCTTACGCAGGTGATTGTCAACGACGAGGGTACGCACTACATCGTCACTCAGCTGGACGACTCCACGCTGCACGTCGAGGAGCCGTCCGGAGAGGAGACCGTCGTTTACTCCGAAGTGAGTCAGGAGTGAAGGTTCTCTCCAGCTGAAGCTGGACGACTCCTCGCTGACCGTCGAGGAGACCGCCGTTTACTTCGATGTGAGTTTCTCTCCAGCTGAAGATAGTCACTCAGGGTCTTTTCCCATCACAACGCTTTTTGGGATTTTTCTTTTTTGATTCTATATGCAATTGGCACATAGCTGTGAAATGGTGTGGAAATGCAACATATCCTAATACTAAAGGCTAATTCGGTTCAATGTGTGTAGATGTTTAGATTACTAATGAGCGCCTTGTTAACCGACTTCTGTTTTCCTTTACGTGTGTTTGGTGAAACACCCACTCTGATTCAGGACTGTCATCTCAAGAAACTCCAGTCAGTAAAGGCCAGGAAATAAAACTGTGGAAAATTAATATTTATAACCTTGATATTTTCTTTGGTACAGGAAGCGTTTGAGTAAAACTCTGAATATACTTCCATTTACAAGTTTCCTTTTGAGAGATTGATTGCTTGCTTGTGAAGTCCTCTAAATAAAGAACTGAGCAGTTTGTTGGCACTTTTGTCTTTTTCAGGGACATGAGCACGGTTAATAATATATATCTCACTTTTTTCAGCACATGTGTGCTTAATGTGACAAAGCTGCAACTCTTAATGCTGAGAAAAGTAGAGAAAACAGCGTTAGGGTTAGTAGTATAATAAATTTAATAGTCCAATTACAAATATCACAAATAAATAAAATAGAACAAAGAAAGGCTACTATTACTAAAGTGATTCAGTCAATAGCAGTGAGTGATTAGCTTGATTGACAGTAAAACACAGCAGTGTGTTTATTAGGCTGCTGTCACTTTAAGGCGGATCTAATGTACTGTATGTACACCAGAGATGTGGACCTGCTGTCACTCCCTCTCCCCTGCGGTTACATTGACTGCCAATGTAATATAACAAAAGTTTAGCTTTATTAATGTATTTTAATTCTTTGAAAATATTAAAAACTAAATGCGTCATCACAGTGTGTGAAAAGGGCCTATAGCATTGTTGATTAGATGTTTTTTTTCTTTATTAGTAAAAGCTTTAAAATGACAAAGATTAGAATAGGGTACTTTACACTGAAATCAATATTTCCTTTCCACATATTTATTGATTTGGTTCTAATCCCCTTGTGTGAGTTTGTTTTGCAATAATGACATACTGACCGTATTAACCAATTGCTTATTAAACACCACGGGCTGCTGAAAAACAACAGAAACCCTCTAGAGTTTGGAATGGATTTAATAGCTATAATGGGGATTTAACTGGTTTTACTGGTTACTCTAATGCTCCCTGTGGATCTCTACTGGTATGGCAACCTGAATGCAATATGGACTGAAACTGCTGGACACGGTTTACCACAAAACCAGCAATCATCTGAGTCCAAATATCAAAACTCAACACGTCACTCCCATACCTAACAAACATATTTCACAGTCACTGTTATGCATTATACACAATATCATTTTAAAAATCACTAGTAACCTAGTAATCGTAAACTGTCGCTTTAAAAGGCCCCTCCCTCACAAAAGTCATTATCTATATAATATATAACCCTCACCATGGTTCTATAACTATCTTCCTTCCTTTAATAAAGAGAGTTTCACAGACAGAAAGTGTTTCAGGGTCCAGCTCGTGTGCGGTGTGTGTTTGAAGGTGTGCTGTTAATGGAGTTTATTTTTCAAACCAAATGTCCTTTGTAGAAGCACATACTAGGGCAGTTTTGAAGACAATATCTCACATGAACCAGTGTTTTTTGTTGTATTAATTCAATTAAAAAGTAAATTAATTAAAAAGTACAATCACAAGTCAGAAAAGATAATCAAATAATGACTGTCTGTAAACTCTGCTGATGACATGTAATGTTAACAATATTGACTGGCAGGTTTTCAGAGACTTCTACAGAAGATGTACAATATTTAGATCACTTCTGTTATTGATTGCTATCAGGAAATGAAGAGAGATTTGGGCCATTATAACACTGTTTCTTAAATGTACTCCCTAACTTTTCCTTGTTTAATTGGAAAGTGTATCCTAATGATAAACTGGCTAAATCAACTGTAATCATTACATAAAACATAACATGGGATACAATGACAAACTACTGGACATAAATAAACAGGTATGTTTAATAAAATCGTGGTAATTTTCGTTAGGGATGTTACTAGCTCCGCCCATTCAATGAAAATCGAACCTGTGGCTCCGCCCCTTTAAATTTCGCGCAATATTCCTTGACAGGAAAGGTGATTTATACATAAAAAGTCATTAAAATCTATTTCATGTCCTGAAATGTAACCTATTTTCCATGAACGTTCAATGTATTGACTACAGAAAGAAGCAACCATTGTTGTCCGTTACACACACGCACTCGCAGAGCAGTGTACGAATCTGTCCGCTAGGTGTCGCAGTTCCTCCAGTGTGATCTCAGACCTGGCGCTTCTGTCTCGGTTCGTTCAACCCGCCGCCATTTTGAATCCGAATCGCTCACACTACACCCGCTCTAAACTGGAACTATGCCGCGGGGCCGGCCGCGAAAACAGAGGGTTAAAGATGACAGCGAAACCGGTAAAGTCAACCGCAGTCTCACGAATAAAAACCTCACACCATAAACTGTTTGTTTAAGGGCGTAGTGCATGTCAGAAATGGGACAGAAGTTTAGAGAAAGCCATTTGAAGCGCGTGTATATAGTCCCCGGATATAGTATTGCTCGCTCTCTGCGTGTGTGTGTGTTGCTGCAGGAGTGATTGCGGCGGAATGATATTAATAACACGCTCGTGTGCTGCAGATTGAGAGAATGCTCCCTCACACACTTCAGATGTCACTCGTCTGCACTAGAGGAACATATACTCTTAATTAAAGCGCTTTTTGAGCTGATCCGCATCGATGCTAATGTTAGCTAAAGCTTCACTACATCAGTGAGGAGGCTAGAAGTGGTCGAGCTGTCGTGTTTGCTGTCTGTTCTGCGGATAATGTACAGATGTTGTGATGATAGCTCTTGCTGTTGACACTGTGTGTTTTATTGATTTAAAGAATAACCAAGTCGGTGTAATGTTTACTTGCTCTCCAGACTTTACTAGCTGAACTAAACCTTCATAAAAAGAGAAATACTGATCGCTGGTCAGCCGAATGATTGTTGTTCTGCCTACGAGTAGCAGGTTTACTATGGTAACTTACACTGTTAGTAAACAGACTTTAACGTTATTTAGCCTGTAACTCTGAACAGTTGAGGTAACCAGTGCTGGAATTGTTGAATGTGATGGGATCATTTCTATAAATGAAGATAATATTTTGTGTTTTGGACTGTATAAACATCTGTAATGTGAAAGACCTTATTCAGAGCGTATTCAATAAAAAACAACAAACAAATTTCATGATGCCTTTTATTTTGTTATTAGTTAACATTTTTATGAACGTTTAGCGGATTCTGTGAGGTGTTTATAAACTGAGGATGATCGGTTCATCTGTCAATCACATTAAACTCACAAACACACTTTCACTGACTGAACTCTTGAACAAAAAATTGACAATTTAAAATTTGAGACCGTGTTGCACATCAAAAGTATCAAAGCACAAAGATTATGGGATGGCAGGAGCTACTGATAATTTTTAATGAAGTTGTGTTTGCGCATCAGCAGAAAACAGCGAAATGAAATATTTAGATCCACACAGCTGACAGGATTATGTGTTGTAGTTTATCCTGAATGCAGAGCGCGTATATTAAAGGTGCTGTAAGCGATGTCGGGTCACGTGACTTCTTGTTGACGATTAAAGTATTTTCAAACAAAACGGAGGCTAGATAGACCCTCCCTCCTCTTCATCTGCACTGACCCCCCCCAAACCCCGCCCCCAGGGCCTTCTTGTCTGTTATTGGCTGGAACAGTTTGTTATGTTTCGTGGAGCGGGTTGCCGCAGTTTGTTTTTGTTGTGATTTGTGGAGCCGGGGTTGACTGCATAGACCGCATTTTTTACAGTGTGTTTAGGGGACAGGCAGCTAGCGGATAGTGAGGAGATGTTTGCTGTTTGTGACAAAAAATGTTTTGGCCTAAAAACCGTGTGACATCACTTAGAGCACCTTTAAATGGTCAATGGTACCAGCCCTCCGTCCAGCTGAAATGGGGAATATGTTTGTTAGCCGAAGTCGGCCTGTCCTCATCGCCTGTGTCCTGTCTTCTTCAGATGGGGGTCCGGGAGCCGGCTCAGAGAGCCAGAAGCAGGCCGACAACAAATGTAATATTTGCTCCCAGAACTATCCCAGCGAGAGTCAACTTCAGAGACACCTGCGAGAGCATGAGGTCAACGATAAGGCAAGAGCGCCCTTCATCATCATCATCATCCTCGTCATCTCACAGCAGATCGGAGACAGGGCCACATCACTCCACACACTGCTCATAAAGCTGATCAGATGATCAGTAACACACCAGTCCACTGATATATCTCATTCACAGAAACTAGGAGCGGCAACATATTACAATCATTAGAGATTTGTATAATTAGTTACAATAACGTTCTTCTGGGGTTACACTTTAATAGCAACGGATTTACATTACTTTTCTAAAACTCTTTCCACTGCAGTTTCCTGAAATATTCCTGTTTGAAACTGCCTAAAAAAACAACCCTTTTTACGATACATATCCGAAATTTACATAGAGTGTATTTTCAGTTTGCGGGGTAATGGAAACGCAGCTATAATTGTCATTAGGATTGTTTTTATTATGTGTAATGGGGTGCTACTGGTTATAAAAAAAAATTGTCACCAGTATGTGGTGTAGTCTGATATTGAATGGTTTAATATATACTTTGAAATACAGATATGCACACTATTCCTTATGAGCTTTACAGTGTAGGTGTGGTTCTAAAGGAAAGGAAATACACATCGATATTAACTAACAAACACAAAATCTAAACTGACTGCAAGCCAGGGTGTGTGTGTGTGTGTGTGTGTGTGGGTCTGAGGAACACTCGCATGCTCTGTACATCACTCGAGCCTTTTGCACATTATTATTAATCCTGTTTAAAGACTCAAAAAATAAAGGTTTTATTGGCATTGCTGCTTCCATTAAGAAACTTTAACATCCATGGAATCTGTCCATTCCACAAAATGTTCTATATATACTGGACAAAGGTTCTTTAGATTATTAAAGGAGAAACTTTTGCTGATAATTCCAGGATTTTTCTCCATATAATGGACTTCATCGGGAACCAAATGGTTCAAGGTCCAAATGAGAGTTTCATTGCAGCTTTAATGGGCTTTAAACGATTCCAGACGATGAATAAGGGTCTAATCAAGCGAAACGAGCGCTCATTTAATAAATAAATAACAAAGTTTACGTTTTATAAGCTCAAATGTTCGCCTTGCTCTGTTCTGTGATGCGCGTTCGTGACTCTCCTGTTCGAACTCGTTCATCAAAATAAACGAGTCATTTGGTTCATTCAACGTAACTGTCTTTTGGACCTTGAACCGTTTGGTCCCCATTGAAGTCCATTATATGGATAATGTTTTCATCAAAAACCTTCATTTCTT